GACGGCACAGAGGCTCGGAAGAAGTTCAGAGTCTCAGAGGACTGCTTTTGGGCTCCACCAAAAATTTCGCTTTTCTTTTTCTTTTTTCTTTTTGGATTCTTTGCTTTTCTTATGCTTGATTTAAACCATTGTTTTTCAAGGGAAATTTTAATGTGAAAAACATGTTTTATTTTTCTACTAACTGCAAGCCTGGGCTATGTAAGCAATCAAGCTTCTCCTCTGATGAGGGCTGTGGGGCGGATGGGGGCTCCGTGGGGGGACGTGCCCTGCGGCAGCTCTGCCCTTTGCTGGCCAAACCTCTGGCTGCTGAGAGCCGGGGACTGGGGTCCCGCAGGGCCGCCAGGCTGGCAGGGCCAGGATGCCCCCAAAAAAAATCGTTGCCCCCAGGGGCCGCCCCCATCACAGCCCGTAGTGGAAACCTCCTTCTCCCGGTGAGGACCGCTGCTGCAAGGTCAGACTGCGTGAATGGTGTCGGCCTGCCGGCATCCGCAGGACCCACGCAGGATCAGCCCCTCCAGTGGCTCTCCCCTGACTCGGAGGGGCCAGGCTGGGCCTTCGGCAGGAGGGTTATGATCAGCCCTCGCCTGCGCCCCGCTGTGCAGGATAGCCACTTGCCTTTGCTTTCCCAAACACACTGCCCTCATCCTGGGCAGCGCTACCCCAGCCTCCCACGGGAGCTCTGGTGCCCGTCAGCCCCTGCGCCCTCATCCGTCGGACTGACAGCGGGATGCGGCTGCAGGGGCTGCATCTGATGATGGGGTCAATGGGAAGAACGAGGCCGGCGTCCCCCACCCCTTCCCAAGCCGAGCTCTCTCCATGATGAGTGCTGGGTTATGCTGGCGTGGGGCTCCGGGAGCACTCTGGAGAAGAACCCCTGGGCAGGAAGGTGGAAGAAATGTGCTTAGGTGCCGGCTGAGCCTGCATCCTCCGTCTGGCCAGTATCGGAGGAGGGTGACCAGCAGCCTGGCTGTCCCATCCGGATAACCAGCACATTGCTCCTGGACCAAAGATCAGCGGGGCAGACGCTGCCCCTCCTG